CTGCTTTAGTCGAGATTCCAGACTTGTTAAGAACTTTATGCAGTGTATCTATCAATCTGAACGAACTGGGAACATATAATTTGAACTAGCTGCATACTAGGGGGAACCATACCTGGATGACCTTTGAAATACTTGAAAACCCAGAACATTTCTTGCGTTTTGTTTATCTTGCATTTGAACATCTCACCACACTTAGTTCGCTAGATGATAGAACTTTTCACAGAGTAGGTAGTAGATCTAGACCCCGGGTTGATAAATTAAACTTCACCACTATTCTGTATTTCCATTCTACGATTACACTTTGTCGTAATTTGGTGTTGTGTTTTAGCGTGTCAATAACATAAACACATAAATAAGCAACCTAAAACCTCATAAAAATCACTTAATTTAGTTAATAGTTAAGAGTATAAATCATATAGGATCATTAGGATCAACATTAACATCCCTCACACATCATCATCATCATCACCCTCACTCTCATCATCATAGAATCCTTATCTAATCACTTGAATTACTTTCACCACTAACCATATTTCCTTGAGCATCATTATCTGGAAAAGGTAACTCATTAATTGATGTCATTCCCTTCTTAACCGCTAAAAGGTCGGGGATAGTGGTGCTAAAGGATTGGTAGATGAACGAAAGCTTGCAATGCAATGGAGATTGGGATAATTATGAGGGTGGTGGGAGCAAACTATAAGGTAATTGAGAGGGTGGAAGAAATCATTGATGAAAGGAGTTGGACGTCGATGTGCGAAAGAAGAAGGTACGAGGAAGGGAATGAAAATAAAGTGAGGGACACCCATCGGGTTTTGGCTGTGTTGTTCATTATGTTGGGTCGGGGGAAGTAAACTTGACGTGATTAATGGACGAAACCTGACCTGACCGACATAATTTTGCTCCAATAGACATGAATCTCGAAATCGTACAAAATCGTAAAAATCTTAGATTTTAAGGATTTTAGAGTTTTAAATTGGGATTTTATGGTTCAAAGATTTTTTAGTAAAATCAGGATTGAAACCCATAGGTAAAATCGTAAGATTTTAAGATTAAAATCGAGATTTTGACTACATTGGTCAGTGTGAACAATGTGGTTAGAATCCAAAAGTGGTGGAGAAGATATGATAATTATTGTACATTTTACCCCTATTGGATTTAACAATAAGATTAAGCCACAAATGTTAATTATTGAGGACTTAAGCAAATCACAATCCTTAAACTCATTTACCTTATCCAACATCGATAAAAATTCCAGATCAATCACATTGTTGCATTCGATACAAAACCATCTCAAGGGTTTGGCTTCCATTTAGTAAGAGAGGTTCAGCGAGTAAGGGAGATACATCGGGAAATGAATCCGTATTTTGATTGAAGGTTAAATATTTAGGAATTTGGAAGATTGAGAAAGAGAGAGTAAGAGGGAAAGATAGAAGAAGACAAGAGACAAAGTGTATCTTTCTCTTAACTTCATTGTTCTCTTCTTTTCAGTGGGCTAGAAAAAATGCATAAGAATATAGACGATGGACGGGTTTTCTATTGTTTTCTAACAAACAGGGAAGGAAACAGAATACACAGAAAGGGATCCATCCACCAAAACAAGTGTGCGCCTTGTTGATATAGATCTCTACCTCTATATCGTCTATCCCAAAGCCCTCCCTATTACTTCCCCGTGTTATAAAGCCATGAGTTGGTCTTGTTGGTTATTGCTAAACTTGAAGCCCGAGATGGATGGGATCCAAGGGTCCTTGGAGATTAATTGATCTCCCACTACCGATGTTATTTCTAGTCCCGAGAGTGAGAACTTGTCATTCTTAGCATAGGCTAGCCCAAATCCAAGAGAGACCTATTCCCTTTCGGGTTGAAAATATATTAGAATTATGAAAGTGGAGGCCTTTTAGGAGTTTTACCTACATGTTTCCTCCCTCATTAAGGATTCTACAACATTGTTTTTCAAGAATAACAAGGTTAAATGTATGAAAATCCTTTATGTCTAGTCTGCCATCTTGCTTCGGAACAATAAGGATGGACCCATTGCATCGATGGATATGCTTGTGTGTCATGGACCCTCCCCAAAAAAAGTTCGCAAAGAGAGTTTATACGCTTTGTTGTTCCTTCAGAAAGAAGAAAGCACGACATAACACGCTTTGTTGCTCCTTCAGAAAGAAGAAAGCACGACATAACAAAGGTATCGCTTGTAGTATTTCCTTGAGTAACACTTCTTACCCCCCCACCCCACCCCATGAGAGAATACTAGGATTGTTTCCAAGCTTGGCCTTAAGTTTCCATACGGGGTAGGAGAAAAACGAATGCTTCTTTTTTATATTGTCCTCGTTCGAAAGGAATTCCCAAGGACGTTCTCAATTTATTGGGTTCTTTTATTTCGAGGGTGCAATTTATTGGGTTCTTTTATTTCGAGGTTGTTCACGATAATGTCTCGGAGGTCTCCTGAAGTATTCTTACTAAAAGTTACCACCGAATTTTGAGGATTCATTTTCTGGCCCATGATTCTCCCATAGTTGGTAAGGATGTTCAATATAGAAAGAGATTAATCGTTTGATGCTTTACCAAAGATGATGGTGTTGTCGACAAAGAGGACATGAGTAAGCGTGGGAAGTGGGGTTTGAGTTTAATCTCAGTTATTGAACCTTTTCAACCGCTTTGTGGATAAGGAAAGTAAGAGAGTTTGTAAGGTAGACAAATATGATCGGGATAGAGGATCTCGTTGGCGGAAACTCAATGATTTGAATGGTTTCAGTTTCCTGTCTATGTAATAGGATTGCGAAACTGACAGAGTGTACGCACTCTTGGACCCAATCTCTCCATCTATTGTTGAAACTCATTGCCTCGAGGATGTCATCTTTTTTATAGCAGGTCAAACAAACCCATAGACTTAGGGGTCGTTTGCTTCAAGGATTTGGTACATGGATTTGGAACCAAAAAACCAACTATCAAGGATTTAGGTACAATCCGTTGTTTGCTTGCACCTTTTTTGGAGACCAAATCTGTGGGGCCCACGGATTTTAAGGGTCCAAATCCGTGGACCCCACGGACTTATAAATCCCACATGTTGATGTGGGATTTGGAATATGGCATAAATCCTTGATGAGATTTTACCTGTATACCCTCATGCACTTTTAATATTCCAAGGTTGCCCTCAAATTTAACTATTATACATTATAATTAACAATAAATGAATAATATAAACATTCAATTAATGTGCAAACATGAGTTAGATTTTTTATATCATTTCTTGTGTTCTAGTTTTCTTTGACCTTTTCATGGAACATGTAATTCTTTGTTCTCCCGATTCTAATATATGTTGTTATATGTTACTTTTGAAAAGGAGGACAAAGAATTGGTAATTGATTATGTTACGTTAAAAGTTAAAACGGAATTTTCTCGTTTATTATTATTGTCCATGTGGCAACATTATGCTTATTAGTATGTATTGTCCTTGTTTTGTGTACATATCATAAACATGTCAAACATATAGAAAATGATAGTAAGGTAATTTTGAAGTTTTGTCCTTGTTTTGTGTACATATCATAAACATGTCAAACATATAGAAAAGGGCAGTAATGTAATTTTTGACTTCAAGTAGTAAATCCCACACCTTTAAATCCATGATAAAAACATCCCAACAAACAAAGGATTGTTACAAATCCATGATGCCTCAAATCCTTGATAAATCCTTGTGTTTTTAAATTACAAAACCCTCATTTTTAAATCCATGAAGCAAACGACCCCTTAGTATCAGAGCAACGGTAAACAACAAGCTCAAAGTTTTTTTCTACGAAGAACAAAAGACAAAAAGTTGCATATTCTTGTTGTAAATAAACCCTGTCCCATATGAATCTACTATGTGTTGAAAGCTTCTTAAACTAGTCCAACCTTCCTAGTAAGTATGTCAAAAAATCAAACTTTATTGGTGTCTATGTCAATCTTATGATTACTCGATAAGGCTTGACCAATTTGAACACTCTCGTCAAATTTTGTTTTCCACTATCGAATCCATTCTTGAGCATTGCGGACACTAACTGTTTCGTTTCTCATTTTGTAGAGGCACTATGCATATGGCCTCGGCTTGTGACTTTTTTCTAGTTTCGTAATCTTCCTAATTCCATATCCTCCAATGTATTTTTCTTTGTGGATAATTAGGAAGTCTCATGATAGGGTGGTTTTTTAGCTTACTCAACTATCTTTAACTGCCCAACTTTATTATGAGTTTGCTTCGATTGTCTCCCTTGATCATGTTATCCTCTCTCCTCGTCTGCAGCATGCTTCAACTCAGTGGTTTTCCCCTCTCGACGACTTTCTCAATATCAACTTTGGCACGCTACTTAACGTGATGTTTTCAACTGCTCTGGCTTGGTAGTGCAAGTCGCAAATGGGTATGTTTGGTTGACTTCGGGATCCATTCACCCTATTAGCTTGGATCCGTACATAGTGGAGCTACTTGTAGCACATAATGCCATCATGCTTGCTGTTAAACGCCAAATATCCAAGGCGATTATTAGAGGTGACACGAAGGTCAAATCTGCTAGCTCTTGCAAGGGGTGTGTTCTGTGTCATAGGAAGTCATCTTATGTGTGACACTCGTCAATTGGTGTCTTCTGTTGCAGATTTCTGAAACTACAAATTGGATGTCATGGACCGACAAAAATAAGTGTTGATGTCTCATTTACCGTTAGCATCTTTTGACTTTGTAATATGGTTTCACTAAGTCATGTTATTTGGGGTGTAAGGGGGCATGACTCATGAGAGAGTTGTTTTTTCTCTTGACTATTTTTCCTAACATTGTTTGGGGAAAAAGAAAATTGAAGAAGATTTGATCATCAATCCTAACTTAAACAAAGTCATCATTTAAACAAAAAAATCAAATGGACTTAGAATTTTGCTCTGATTTAAATATTCTCCACCAATTAATTTTTATAAATGTAGAAATTATTAGCTTTAGTACGACATCTTAAAAAATTATCAAAGGGATCACAAGTGCATTACGCAGCAACAAATAACCAATTAAAAATTTTGGGTACTCATTATTACCAGGCCAGCTGAGTGGGCCAATGAGCAGTAAGAAACTGGAGCGGGCCCCCAAAACCTATTACCATTACGCGCCATCTTGATTGTGACCACCCGATTCGCCCTCAGCCGTCCGATCTGATTCCAACAAAATCGACCCTTTCCCCTTTTCCTTCTCTCTCCCTCCTTCCTCCGTGCACTTGCAACAGTTTTGACTGTCACTTACTTACCCTCTCTCTCTCTCTCTCTCTCTCTCGCTAAAACAGCTCTCCGCTTTCTCGTCCGTTTCCGCTCGGACGGAAGTTGCTCCGAAAATTTGCACAGGAAGCGGGCGGCCACCAGCATCGACTTCCTCTCCCCAGCCGTTGGTTTCTTTTCACATTCAGCTTTCCCTCTTTCTCATCTGCATCTCTCTGCTATCTGATCTCGTTCCTTGCTCGGCGGGACATAAAACGGGCCACCGACAAGCGTTTCTTGATTGAGCTCCGAAACGTCTGCTTAAGCTGCTGGGTATGTGGTCTTTCTCTCTTCTTTACTCCTCGTTGCTTGGGTTCCCGGAAAAGTTTGCAAGAAAATTATTTGATTTTAGATTATGTGTCTCCATAGTGTTTGATCTAATGCTCCACTGGTATATTCTTTCTTTTTTGTGTATATTCGATTGGATGAGTTTGCGTGGGTTTGATCGGGTTAAGACTAATTGGAGGTTGTTAGATGTGAGGGAGAAGGTGGGTAGCGAGGGAAAAGGGGAAAAGGCTTCAACTTTAAGCAAATTGGCTTTTGCTTTCGCCTTGCTTCATAGCTTTTTCTCTTTTAAGCAAAAACCCAACCGGGAACGTTGTTTAGGTAATCTGGAAAAGAGTTGAAGCTTAGCTGGGGATGCCGTCCTTTACCGTAAGGCCAGATGTGCTAGGATTATGACGTTTCAGTCTTCCCTTATCTCAAGTTCCTCAAGGAAATCCGGGTTTATGGACCACCTTTTCCTTTTCATTTCGAATCCAACAGCTCTCTGCCTCTAGTTTCTTTCTTTTTCTTTTAGCTATTTACTGCTTATTGTCTTCTAGCTTCCAATTTCAATTTTCAAATTGGGGGTGCCCCTAAGCTGCCTGAGTTGCCCCTGCATGCCTTGTTCATCTTCTCAATAGTGTTTTTCTTTTCGGGGACTACATGACAAGCTCAGTGTTTGTCCTTGGATCCATTACATGGTTGTCTTGTAATACCAAAGGAGAATGCAATCATGTTCTTACATCTTGACCTGCCGCTGCTGGATCACATGCTTGGTTCTTGAAGCTGAAGCTGAAACTCCTTTGTGAAAATTACCTCTTTTGTTTACCTGGAAGTGCCAGTCACGTTCTTCCATTTTTCATGTCTCAAGGCTCAGAATATTCTTGAGCCAGGAAATGATACATATGTGGTCCCTGCTGAATGCTTGAAGTATGCTTACTTGCAGCTTACTGGTCTCTAATGCTTAATCAAATTGAGGCATACTGCTGAAGAAACACGTCAAATAGTAAGAAGATGAAATGGAACAGCAGTTGGAGCTGGAAAGGAATTTGAGGAATCGTCAACCTTCAGTAGCAGCTTCTAGTACAAGTCGAACAGTCCCAGCAGGGTCTCAGAGTCCACAACTGCCTGAAAGATCCAAGCCAAAAGAAAAGCATCTGTCTTATTCTGATCTTCATCGTCACATCACGGAGAGTGTGGAAGAGATCTCAAAGAAGCAAAATAAGAAGGCAGCAGAAGAAGAGGAGCTCGTAAAGTATATGTCGAATTTGCCAAGTTATCTGGAGAAAGGTAGAGCTCAACAAGAGAAATTCTTGAACGTTGGAGTACTGGACTGGAGTCGTCTTGAGAAGTGGCAGTACAGCAGCAGCCATCATAGAAGGCTTTCAGTGTCGAGTAATAATTCATGTTCATCATTTGTATCGGAAGGATCTTCTGTTAATTCAAGTAGAGGTCAGAGCTCTCCTCCTTCTCGCCAAAGGATGCGTCATCCGTCATTGCAGTTCCATTTGTCGTCGTTGTCGCCATCGTCAGCAACAAGGCATTCTCAGATTCTCAACTCCTCTGATGAAGGTGATGGAAATTCTCACAACCATCACAGTCGTCTTGCGACTGACACTAGAAGTGCTGAGCAAGCAACATACACAAGAATGGGCAAAGCTATTTCAGAGGACCCTCTAGAATTAAGCTTTGATCAATGGAGGAGGAGAAAAGATGTGACTGGTCAAAAGATGAACTCTAGAAGTAGTGTTAGTGGCGTAAAATGCAAAACACAACAAGTGGTCAGAGATAAGATGAAGGTCATAGACCAGGGATACACGAGGAGACCTGATAAGATGCAAGAACGAAAGGTAAACGTGATAGACAGGGAAAACTGTCAAAAGAGTGAACCAGTGGTTCTTCTTCTACCCAAAGATGATGCAAATGGTTCTCGTTCCGGGATTCCCAAGTGTCCAAAGTCAACGATGCTCTTAGGTCGAAGATCAGCAGAAGTACATCATATGAGTTCTCTGCAGAAACCTAGGGAAATACACTATACTGTAGTCAGTTCAAATGTCCCACACTCATGCCCTCTGCCATATGAATGTGATAGAGAAGTTGAAGCACAGAACTCCTTTTCACCACATTCCTCCCAGTCTGCACATCATCAAGCTGAAGTAAGCGAAGAACCATCAAACCTTTGCAGAACTGTTGAAGCCAATGTAACTCAGAGAAATGCTGCTGGTCTGCGAGAGACCTCCTCTGGAGCAAATCTGAAACCGGATAAGCTAACTCCTCCAGAAAAGATAAGGAGTACGTCTCCATTTCGCAGACTTAGCATGGGTATGGGAAAGATAACTAGAAGTTTAATCCCAAAAGAGACTGCAGCTGTACCACAATCAACTTCGTCCTGCAAGTCTGCAAATTCTGGTTCTGAGGATGGCATTGCTGTTGGGCAAGCTACTAGCAGTGGCAGGTCGAGGTCAAGCCCTTTGAGAAGACTGCTGGACCCACTTCTGAAGCCCAAGGTTCCACAAAACTGTCATTTGACGAGGGGGAGAGATGTTAATTCTTCTGTAGACACATGCTGTAAATCATCAGACAGGCAAGTATGTTCCTCCTCTCCAAGTTCACATCCTGCTGGGAGAGTAAGCTTGGATGCAACCAATGTTAGGGATACAAGTGTCAAGGATTTCCCTCTTAAGATGAAGAAAAAGTCAAGTGCATTTCAGGCCTTGCTGCGAGTAGCAGTTAAGAATGGGCAGCCGCTTTTTACATTTGCTGTCGACAATCAACCTGACATTCTTGCTGCCACAATGAAGAAGTTGAGTTCTGCTTCAGATGATGATTGCATTTATACATTTTTTTCCATTCAAGAAGCAAAGAAGAAGAATGGGAGTTGGATGAATCATCAAAAAGGTGGGAAAGGAAAAGGCAAAACTCACGAGTATGTCCCCAATGTTGTAGCACAACTTAGGGTTTCTGGGTTGACTGGATCAGACTATCTGGAGCAGCAACATTGTGCTGCCAGAGAGTTTGTTTTATTTGCTGTGGACTTGTTACCACAATCAGAACCCCAGCAGCAGGAGCAGCAGACATTGGAGTTCCAGCCAAACGACGAGCTTGCCGCTGTTGTGGTCAAGGTCCCAAGGACAGTTATCAACAAGAAGACAATAAGACATGAGCCTGAACCTGATCCTGAGAGTGGCTGCAATCTGCAACAAGGGGGATCCAGATCTGCTTCTAGTCAGACTGCACAGTATCAGCACCGTGTAGTTGCAAATGAAAGCTTTATCAGTGTGACAGCTGTACTTCCTGGTGGTGTTCATTCAATACCCACCACCAAGGGAGGGCCTTCATCATTGCTCCAACGTTGGAAATCTGGGGGGTCATGTGATTGTGGAGGTTGGGATTTGGGCTGTAATCTTCGGGTTCTCAACAACAACACAAATGAACTTAACCAGAAACCAGTTCCATTCCAGCCTTGTTCTACTACCACGGATAAATTTGATCTCATCCCTCAGGTAAAGTTTCCATTAAGCAAGCAGGGAAGATAAAATCAACTGCACCAGAATTAATCATCTCTGAACCTGCATTTCTTACTTGTTCTGATAGGGGGGAGAAGGAAATAATGAGCCTGTGTTCAGCCTGGCACCTTTTAAGGATGGGATCCACACGGTCGAGTTCCATTCATTGCTTTCACCTCTGCAAGCATTCGCCCTCTGTATAGCAGTCGTGGATGGTAAGAAACTTATGGAAGTCGAAGAATCATGCAGCTCGCTCGAGGGAAAAGCTACTCTGGACGCCCTACTTGCCCAAAATGATGCATGGACAGGAGGACCTGGAATTGGCGGAGAGATTCCTGCAAGATATGTCTCATACCCACCCGTTTCTCCTGTGGGAAGGGTCTAGTTCTGCTTAATATGCTGTTCGCTCTTTTGACAAGCATTCTCCAAGGATCGAGGAAGAAGAAAGATGAATGCTTTTGTAATTATACAGGCGGCACAGATAGAATATTTCTCTTATAAAAAATATATATGAACTAGATTGGGATGAGCGACTGTGCAATCCTGCAGTTGGAATGGGAAAAGAATAAGCAGCTCGATGGGTGATGCTGAACCCTCTTATAACTCTAGTAGCAGTAGCAGTTAAGACTAGTTTCTTTTGATGTTGTTCTCTCTTTGTTGGATCGATACAAGTAGCATCAGCTGAACCTTGAAACTCTGATACCTTCGTCATATATGTCAAGTGTGCATATCAGCATGAATGAAGTGATGGTGTTTCGTCTCTTATTTTATTAATTATTGCATCAGTGGATTCAATCGTTTTCTGTCATCGGTTCGTTTGATCTTCTTTGGGTTTTGTCACGACCTTACTCTCGATCGTGCGGCCCTAACTCTCAAATCCGTTAGAGCGCTAGGCAGCCTTTCTCTCACTCACTTGAAAGCAAAGAACAATAACAAAGACAAAGGAAGTGTGAGAACTCTCTCGTGTGTATTACTCTAAAAAATGATGGAATGAGTTACAAGTGAGGGAGATGGCTCCTTATATAGGCCTCTCCTCATACAAGGCATCAATGCCCCTCATAATGGTCCCTCTATACATCAATACACCCCATAAAGTCCCCCCATAATGCACTCTATTAATGCTACCCATAATGTAGCCCATAAGTGCACCATTAAGCTCTCATTTAGGTGGAGAATCCTAGGAGCATCTCTATGCTACTAGTCTTCCATACATGCCACATGTGCAGCCGCCTTGTTGTCACCTTGTTGGCGCCATGTCATCTGCCACATGTGACATCCTCCCCCACCTATGCTCGCGACGCCCTCGTCGCGTCCTCTTGATGGAATGCCTCGATCAAGTCCTTGTTCTTCCAAAGCGTGAGCTCTTTCTCCCAAGTTGCTTCACTTTCCGGAAGGTTGCGCCACTTGACCAAGTACTCCACAAAGCTTGGATGTACGCCACGACGAGGAATGACACGACGCGCCATGGCTTCTTCAACTTCATGGTCGTGTGTCTTGGTGATGAGTGTTGGAGCGCGCTGCGACTCTCTTGGTTGCTCATCATCCTTGTCTTCGTGGAAAGGCTTGAGTTGGCTCACATAAAAGACCGGATGGATCTCCAAGTGCGTCGGCAACTCAACCTTGTACGCCACCGCGCCAATCCTCTTCACGATGGGGAATGGCCCTTCATAGCGGCGAAGCAGTCCCTTGTGCACGTTCTTGAGATGCTTGAAGCGATGAGGGTAGAACTTGATCATCACCATGTCTCCCTCTTCAAACTCCAAGTGCCGCCTCTTCTTGTCCGCCCATTTCTTCATCTTCTTACTAGCGCGGGCTAAGTAAGACTTGGTCATCTCCATCTTCTCGTGCCAGCCTTTAGCGAACTTGTAGGCCGCCGGACTGTTGCCTCTATATCCCGTTGCCACCGTCGTAGGTGTCAAAGGTTGCTGCCCCGTCGCCAACTCAAATTGACTCGTGTTGGTCGACTCGCTGCGGTGCAAGTTGTAGAAGAATTGTGCCGTATCCATCAACTTCACCCAATCTCGTTGGTTTGCACTTACGTAGTGTCGCAAGTACACTTCCAACAAGGCATTCACCCGCTCCGTCTGTCCATCGCTTTGAAGATGAAATGCCGTCGAGAAGTTCAAGTCTGAGCCCATGATCTTGAACAACTCTCGCCAAAATCTGCCCGTGAAGTGCCCATCTCTGTCGCTCACGATGTTGCTAGGAACGCCCCAATACTTAACCACGTTCTTGAAGAATAGTCGCGCCGCATCCTCTGCCGTCATGTCTTTTGGGCCGGGGATGAACACTCCATACTTCGAGAATCTGTCCACCACAACCATGATGCAACCGCATCCATCGACTTTGGGAAGTCCGATGATGAAGTCCATGCTTACACTCTCCCATGGTCGTTGAGGTGTGGGCAAGGGCTCTAGCAAGCCTGCCGGGCTTTTCTGCTCCATCTTGTCTTGTTGGCACACAAGACAAGTCTTCACATACATCTCCACATCGTCTCTCATACGTGGCCAGAAGTATGCTTCTTCGATGAGCGCTTGCGTTCTCTCGATGCCGGGATGGCCCGCCCACTTGGAATCATGGCACTCCTTCATGATCTCCTTCCTCAAGTTGGCCCATCTTGGCACGAACACTCGCTCTCCCTTGGTCATGATGAGCCCATCCTTCATCCAAAACCGTCGAGTCTTGCCTTGCTCGATGTACTCCGCTACGGTTTTGGCAGAGGGGTCATGGCCAAGGCCTTCAACGATCCGCTCCTTCAAAGGAAACATGGGCTGGCTGATGCTTGCGGCTGCACTCTTGCGGCTAAGAGCATCGGCAACGGAATTCGCCTTGCCTGGGTTGTACTCCATGACGAAGTCGAACTCGGCCAAAAAGTCTTGCCACCTCGCTTGCTTGGGGGTGAGCTTCTTCTGCGTCAGAAAGTAGCTCGTTGCCACGTTGTCCGTCTTCACTACGAACTTTGACCCCAACAAGTAGTGCCTCCATGTGCGCAAGCAATGCACCACGGCCGTCATCTCCTTCTCTTGAATGGTGTATTGCCTCTCCGTCTCGCTAAGCTTCCGACTTTCGAAGGCAATGGGATGCCCATCTTGCATCAACACACCTCCAATCGCGAAGTCGGATGCATCGGTCTGCACTTCGTAGGCCAATGTCGGGTTGGGGAGCACGAGCACGGGCTCCTTCACCACTGCTGCTTTCAAGGCCTCGAATGCTTCTTGGCACTTTTCCGACCAATCCCACGCCTTGTTCTTCTTCAAGAGATCCGTCAAGGGTGCCGCAATGTTGGAGTAGCCCTTGATAAACCTCCGATAGTAGTTGGCAAGGCCGAGGAATGACCGCAACTCTGGCACATTCGTCGGCGGCTCCCATTCTTGGATTGCCTGCACCTTTGCTCCATCCATCTTCAACTTGCCTCCACCAATGATGTGCCCCAAGAATGGAACCTCCGTGGCGGCAAATGTGCACTTCTCCCTCTTGACATACAACTCGTTGTCGCGAAGGACTTGGAAGACTTGGCGTAGATGCTCGGCATGCTCATCGAGTGTTTTGCTATACACGACGATGTCATCCAAGTAGACCACGACAAACCGGTCCAAGAATGGCTCGAACACTTGATTCATCAAAGTGCAAAACGTGGCTGGTGCGTTGGTGAGACCGAATGGCATCACAAGAAACTCGTAAGAGCCATAGCTCTCTTCACGAGAGTGACCTCACTCTTGAGGTCTGCAATCTCCTCCTTCACGCCGACCAGCTCAGCCTGGACTTGCTCTTTCACAACTTCAAGGGCGTTGTTCATGGAGGCGGTGATGGTGTTGTTGATGAGGGCCACAAGCTCTTCCCGCATCCCATCATGGTTGATCTCCAAGCTTGTCAACCTACCAGCCATTCCTTGAACATCGCTTTTGACTTGGGCGAAGTTACCTCCCAAATCCTCGATGGTAGTGATATCTTCCGCCATCTTCACTTCCATCCTCGAGACTCGCCTTTCTAGACACTTGAGAGGATCACGAGTGCTCGACGTACCTTTTCCTCTCTGGCCCGGTGTGGGCTCTCTTCCACGCGGCTTCTCAGCATCGTCATGGACTTCTGATCCCGACATTTTTTATGAGGTTCTTCCTTTCCTTCTGGCTCTAGGTTCAACTTTGCTAGCACAAAGCCGAACCAGGCTCTGATACCACTTGTCACGACCTTACTCTCGATCGTGCGGCCCTAGCTCTCAAATTCGTTAGAGCGCTAGGCAGCCTTTCTCTCACTCATTTGAAAGCAAAGAACAAGAACAAAGACAAAGGAAGTGGGAGAACTCTCTCGTGTGTATTACTCTAAAAAATGATGGAATGAGTTACAAGTGAGGGAGATGGCTCCTTATATAGGCCTCTCCTCATACAAGGCATCAATGCCCCTCATAATGGTCCCTCTATACATCAATACACCCCATAAAGTCCCCCCATAATGCACTCTATTAATGCTACCCATAATGTAGCCCATAAGTGCACCATTAAGCTCTCATTTAGGTGGAGAATCCTAGGAGCATCTCTATGCTACTAGTCTTCCATACATGCCACATGTGCAGCCGCCTTGTTGTCACCTTGTTGGCGCCATGTCATCTGCCACATGTGACAGTTTCCTCAGAGTACTACCAAGTTAGATCCAGAATCCTTAGAGGTTTTTGGAGGCCATTTCCGTTGGCCTGTGACTCGAACAAAGCAGCTCAGTAAATCCTTAAGAGATTTACTTGATTTGATTTTTGGTCTTGCTTAAGCTCTTGACAACTTTACTATGTCTTTGAATCGTAAAATACTAGTTGTATATTGCCAAGAAGAAAGGAAACAAGATCAATTGGATTTCTTGAATCACAATCATCCATGATCCATCTGTCAACTGCCATCACAATTCACGGGCAAGCCTGGATTTGTTGAGGAAATGCTTTACCTTAAAAGAAGCAGCTGCTTATGAGCTGCAACAACAGTCGATTGCAAGGAAACTGTACTAATGGAATAGGCAAGTAGAAAGAAAGATGCAGCAGAAAAGGGTAAATTGCATGTTTGGTCAATGTGAATACTAAAAAGTATTGCGTTTGTTCACTACAAATATTTAATTCCATTTGTGGTCACTAAGATTAATTTAATAGTTCAAGTTTGGTCACTCTCCGTTAAATTTATTTGATGTGGCAGTCAACTCTTGATAATTGACCGTTAAATGAGTGACGTGACAATTAAAAATATTTTTTTTAATTATTTACAATTCCACCTCATTTTCATAACTAATAAAAATTAAAAATTAATCTCCACATCTTTCTCTCCTATACTCCCCTCCCGTCGGATTCCTTGCCTTCCCCCCATAATTCGATTCCCGCGTGACCCCTGCTCCCATAATCGGCGATTAACACATGGAGTTTTGGGTGTCGTGGAAACCCATCGGTGGAGGCAAGTTTCGGCAGCCGGACATGACCCGTTGCTGCAGGTGATGAGTTTCCGAGAAGCGGAAAGGAGGACCTGCTGTAGGGCGACGATGTTGTTAATGACATCGTTGAACTTGCTGTAGGAGCAATTAGCGAGACAAGGCATTTAATTTGGGTTTCGGATAGGGGTTTGTTTGATGATGGGTTCTTCTGTTAGGGTTTCGAGGAGATGGGAATCCGGGTTCGGAGCCGCGACAGTTGAATAGGGAATCCGACAAGATGGGAACTGCGAGTTGAGAAAAGAGAAGGAAAACCGGTTTGATTGATTTTGGTGTGTGAGTACAGTGCCGATAAGGCTTTTATAAGCCTCGATTGCAGTTT